CGCCCGGGCTGCCGAGGGAAATGCATTGCTGGGGGCTGCGGCGGCTGCGGGGTGCTGCCCTCGCCCCGATGGGCACCTGGGCGCAGGTGATGGCTGCCCTCGGCCCCTGCCTCTGGTCTACCAGGCTGGGCTGTGGCCGGGCTACCCACCCAAATCCTCGTGTGTGGAAATACCTCTCTTTGGCTTCCCGATACCTGCGATGCTGATTCCCTCTTGCCCCATCCCTCCTCCATTCTGGATGCCCCTAAATTATCCCCCGACATTTCTGAAGAGGGGTGCTTTATTTAAAGGCTTAGGCTCACCCAAGTATCTCTTCGCACGCGAGACAGGTTTCATAAACAGCAAACGTGCTGCTAATCTTTTTTCCTGTCATAACACGCGGCTTTGCCCGTTTTTGAATGAAATCCCTTGTAGAAAGTGAGGCAGCCTAACTTAGAAACATAAAATTCTGTGTCTGTAGTCGACAGCAGTAAGCTGTGGAGAGGACCTGATCCTAGCCATAGCCACGGCGCGGGCGCAGGAGGTTCTGCCATTGACATCAGACGAGCAGTTTCTACGAATAAACCCACGTACTTCTTCAGAGCGGTGTTTCTAGGATGTGGCTCTAGAGTTAATTGAAGCTTGCTGGAGCGCAGTGAACTTCACAGTGGGAACGCGTGGCGGAGGGAGGCGCTGGTAGCGTAAGACGTGTTTATTTACGAGGCTTTCCAAAGGCGTGGGCGATGCAGATCGAACCCTGCATTGAGAACCGCAGGGCCAACCTTGGGACTTTAGTCAGGTTTCAGCAGCGCTTCCCAGGTGCTGATTATCGTGCAGTTTGGGAGCATTAATAGGTGAAGAGTTCATATTAGTTTGTTCCCTTGTAATTAAGAGGCATAACAACAGTGTGATTGCTGCGAAAACATGATTTGTTAATTTGCTGCTGTGTCATCATAACTCGCTAGTTAGGAAAGAGTAATGCTTTGCTATTGCTACAGAACTTTTCTTCCAGCAAGGGGCTAGCTACAGTTCTAAGTTTCTAGAAACAATAATGTGCCTGGGTGGGTTTTTTTTGATAGTAGTATGTTCTTTGAGAGATTACATATATTTATTTCTTCATTGTATATGGCCTTATGTAATTCCTGAAGTTTGATTAAGCGCTTGGTGACTACCTGAGAGCTCTTCAGTGTTGTGTAGAAGCGCGAGGTTCGGGGGAAATGAATGTTTACACTTTCCATTTTCAGTATACATACGTTGTTCATGCAAGATAGTTCTAGACCTGCAAATGAGCAGGAAGAGCAACAACAAAAAAAAAACCAAACCACAACCCACAAGTTGATTATTAATGCCATATGTAATGTACAGGTAGTAAGTGGGAGTTTTGTGGGACGGCAAAATGAGGAAGAAGGAAAAGTTTGGGGAACCAGACAGGCAGGCGGAGAGAGAGATGGAGGTAGGGACAGGCAGGGAGGCAGGCAGAGACACCAGCCCTTCGGGGTGTCCCTGTTTTGGTGACCCCCACGTGACACCCCCCAGGGTGGCAGCAGCGGTGGTGGTTTGGGGTGGAACTTCAAGTGGTTGCTGGAGCTGGCGGTGGTGCCTGGGATGGTGAGGCCTGGGGGGGCAGGGGCGATCCTGTGGCCAGAGGTGCTGGGGGGCTGGTGACAGCATTTTGGGGGGAATCCTGGGGGTTTGAAGACTTGGCCCAAGGAGGAACCACGGTGTGATGGAGTGGAAACGATTTATTGGTGGTACGTGCTGGCAGCACTGGGGCCTGTACTGGGAGGGCTGGGACCCACACTGGGAGCGCTGTGAGTGCACTGGAGCTTCACTATGAGTGCACTCAGAGTGCTCTGGGAGCTTTGGGGCCTATACTGGGAGCACTGGGCTTATACTGGGATTGTACTTGGACAGCTGCAGCCCAGACTTGCATGGTACTGGGAGCACTGGACATGTGCTGGGAATGCTGGGGCTTATATGGGGATCTTACTTTAACTGTATCTCAGGCTGGCATCATACTGGGAGCATTTGGTCCCATATTGGGGTCATACTTGGAGAGCTGTGATCCAGACTGGCATAGTATTGGGAGTTTGGGCCCGTACCGGGATGGTGCTGGGCCATACTGGCCATACTCAGGGGCCATGGTGGTCCCCCTCACCGCCCCCTGCACCAGCAGCACCAGCCTCAGCTCCTCTGTCAGCACCTCCAGGAACTCCAGGTCTGACCCACGTCAAGGACCTGACTCATGACTGACCCACATGTCCCCACTGCCCCCCAGTTCTCCCTCCCAACTGCCCCTGTCTCCTAGCCACACCAAAACTGCCCCCAGTTGTCCCCCAACTGACCCATAAGTGTGCTCCAAGTGCCCCCCCACCTACCCACACAGTGATCGGAGTCCTCCACTGACCCATTTTTCCCTGGTTTTGCTGCTTTTCCCCATTTTGCCCCAGTTTTCCCCATTTTTTGGCCCACTTTCAGTGTTTTTTTGTCCCATTCTGCCCAGTTGCATCCTGCTTCCCCTGTTTCCATCCTGGTTTTATCTCAGTTTACCTGATTTTGTGGTTTTGCCCCATTTTCACAGAAGCACAGCCTCTGCGTTTTGCCCTTTTGGCCTCGGTTTTGCCGTTCTTGCCCCAGTTTGTGCCCCACTTCATCCAGATTCCCCATTTTTCTCTTTCTTCTTTTGTTTCTTCTCCCCTCTTTTCCCCATTTCACCATTTTCCTCCCAATTTTCCCCATTTGTGCCCCATCCTCCCACTCCCCTCTCTCTCCCTGTTTCTAGTTTTCCCATTTTTCCTGGTTTTCCCCCCATTTTCACCATGTCTCCCTGTTCCCTCATTTGCTGTTTCTCCCCATTTCCCTGCTTTTTTTTTTTTCCCATTCCCCCTATTTTTCTCTTTTCCCCATTTTTCCCCATTCCCCATTTCATCACTGTACATGGCCTGAAAGTACAGCAATAGACACACTATCGTGTTCCCTGCATTCT